TTATCGTTCTCTTGAAATATTGTACTTTTTAAGTGAGATTTTTGAAAAAAAGGTAAAAGTCACAATTGGCGAGTACTGACAAATATGGTGGTTGTCGGGCCTGGTGCATGTCATCATTGGCCCAAAACTACTGCAAAAACCATGGTCACTGATGGAGACTCTGTCGTGTGGAGAGACGACCACACTCTACACACTTTCCATTTTAGGCACTGCTAGAAACATCAGAAGTAAGCGAGAATGCTATAACTTAATGTACGTGCGCAACAGAGTTCAAGGTCAATCTGTGCCTAGCGGCTACATTCTACGTATTTTCCCTTCTTTATCATAGCAACAGATCCGGTACTTTTTGATTAGACCTCGTATATATATATATATATATATATATATATATATATATATATATATATAAAGAAATGGACAAGGTCCGACAATTTATTTATTAAAGACATTTTTTTTTATGTTTAATGTTTTTTTTTTTATGTTTAATGTTTTTATGTTTTATTTATATATATATATATATATATATATATATATATATATAACTTTTCAAAGCAGTGCGCCGTGTTTATCTGAGCATTGCGTTACAAGGAGGTTCCAAGACACTTGCTCTTGTTTATTTCACCTTTTTCAGATTGGGCTAATAGTAGTTTTAGGAAAGAAGGCTGGATGGTCATTTCGGAGAATTACTGCGCAGGTTCGATATGCCGCGGGGTTGGTGCATCGATGTTGGCAACTATCGTTAAATGAATATTCTTACGTTTTAATTAAAGAATATCAAACACTTAAAATCCCATAGGTAATAATTTTTATTTCATGAGAGGTTTAAAAAAAAGCAGCTCTCATTCTTCAAGACTTACAAACATATAAAAAATGAAATGGAATATATATATCTATATTCCGGATTAAAATCAAGAGATATCGTTATTTTATTTAGAGAGTGTGAAAAGCAAAGTGAGTTGACTTATTTTGATATACTAACCTCACTATGTCATTTGAGAATGGTGGAAGGGTTTGAAGATGGCGGAGGGACTTAAAGTCTCGTTAGTTCAGTGTGAACCATCCTCTCTGTTTCTGTCAGCGGCCAAATTTCAATGCTGATATAATTTATTCAACAAACTATTTATAAATAATATTAAAAAAGGACATTTTTAAAGATTTCGAAATTAGCGAAAAAATTCTCATAAGTTTTTTTTTTATATAATTAACCAAGAAATTTAAATTAAATTATCTAAGAAATTTGAATTAAATGATTTTTAATTATATTCAGAGAAACATATTTATAAAGGTTATATACCTAGAGTCTTGAACTTTTATATCTTAGATACATATTTAGCAGGATATGAATGGACTTTAAACTAAGGGAAAGTTAGATCATTGTTTCATTTAACAAATTCTGTAAATAATATTTTAAAAAAAGTGTCTGGTTCAGAACGTTTTAAAAAAAGTTTTTCGAAATTAGCGAAAAAATGTTTTTAAAAATTAAATGTAAATTAGTATAAACGTTTTGTATAATTATCCAAAAAAAGTTAAAAACTTAAGAGATTTGAATTAAATGATTATTAATTATATCCTGAGAAACATATAGAGATTATATAACGAGAGTCCTTAACTTTTGCGTCCTAGATGTATTTATTAAGATTTAGAAGGATATGAGTGTACTTTAACCCAAGGTAAAGTTAAATCGGTGTTAATCCCCTTGTGTGTATTTATTAAGTTTATGAGTTTAGTTAAAGACGTATTCCACATTAATTTAAAGGAGATCTGTTTAACCAGATTACCGCGTAGCATCCAACTTGGTCAAAATGAATATATACACACACATATATATATATATATATATTCTTTCTTCACCCATAATACATACATTGCAACAAGGATAGTCATATTGGACATATCATTAGTATAAAGAAGTAAACAACATAATAAAATATAAACAACATAATACAAAAAATAAATATAAAAATCCATAACACACATAGCTAATAATAATTTCAGTTAGCACCATATATACGCAAATTCCCAATACACACATCATTACATTGGGCACCTCGAGGCGGTGTAATGGTTAACGAGCTTTTCTCGCTAGAACAATTACAAAAGAGAAGTGAGTTCGATCCTGACTGAGTGCCCCCTACTTTCGGCCTTGTGCCACATCTAAGCTATGCTTGGAAAATCATTGTATTTTGGCACCTCGGCGTAGTGTAATGGTTAGCAAGCTTGTCTTGCTAGAACAATTACGACTGAATAGTGAGTTCGATCCTCACTGGGTGTCCCATACTTTCGGCCTTGTGCCAAACCCGAGCAACGCTTGGAAAATCACTATACATCCTTATATATATATATATATATATATATATATATATATATATATATATATAGTTTAAGCACGAATTACAGATCAATAACCCTATCAACGTTTTCAGTCCATATACACATACACACACACACACACACACACACACACACACACATATATATTCACATACTATGTATTTCTCTCTAAATACAATATTCTGACAAACCTATATGTATAAAGAAACCCAAAATATGACCATACACAAACACAAACACCCACACGCACACACACACACATATATATATACATATTCACACACATACACATTTTTCCACAAGCAAACCCATATCCAATTAACCATACATATTATAACACACACACACACACACACACATATATATATATACATATTCACACACATACACATTTTCCACAGTCAAATCCATACCCAATTAACCATACATATTATAACACACACACACACACACACACACACACACACACATATATATATATATACATATTCACACAAATACACATTTTTCCGCAAGCAAATCCATATCTAGTTAACCATACATATTACACACACACACACACACACACACACACACACACACACACACACATATATATATATATATATATATATATATATATATATATATATATATATATATATCCCAACCAAAATGTCAGATTGCAATAAATATTTCTATGCGAACATAGAGCAATGTAGATACAGATAAGAATTTCTATTTTTTAAGGCGGAGTTTGTTTCTGCATTTTGATATGAGTTCCGTTCAAAGGTTAAGTAAATTCTCCTGGGTTTTATATTTAATTATAAGTATTTTCTCCAGCAGACAAAGGTTACAACGGTCCTTGAAGTTCTTAGGAGTTTGAGCTCTGGATATGAATTCCTACTCCAATTGCGGTGTGAGACCTTTGTTAACAAGATCCCAATAATGTCCGGATAAATCTGTTTGGGTTTTGAGAAACCTATTGCTGAATGATTGTCTGTGATTATATAAACGTTGCTTCCAGTTTCCCGCAGATATTCCAATGTAGGTTTTCTTCAGGTCTACATTTTCTCCATGGGAAATCGTTGCTTCATATACCACGTTTTTAGACCTGCATTTACCTTCAACAGGACACTCAGTTGTCCTTCTGTAATTGTATAGGGGGGGGGGTCAATATCCGTTACTTCACTGTTATGAAATTTATTTAGTAGCTTACTATTGTAGACTGAGATGATTTTGTCGATAATAAATAAATTGGGGCACATCGAGGCGGCGTAATGGTTAGCAAGCTTGTCTCGCTAGAACAATTACGACTGAGTAGTGAGTTCGATCCTCACTGGGTGCACCCCCTATTTTCGGCTTTGTGACACATGTAAGCTACGCTTGGGAAATCATTATATTTATAAATTGGTTGAGTCTTTTTTCTATGGCTTATCGACACTTTGAAGGTTATTTAAACCAAGAAATATTTTTAGATTGCAAGTTTTTCTTATTTTTATTTTTTGATAATAATAGTTTAGTGATGCAAGTCTTATTAGTTAACCCATAGCTGGGGAAGAAGAGGTAGATTCATAACTTTCCCAAGGGTATTGGCAGTTAAGTTAATATAACAAATCCAACTGAAATTGGAACTCATTTCTGAGCCATTATCCATTACACCACCCGCACATCCAAGCTTACAGCACCTGGTATTCCCCAAGCGGTCACCCAAGTGCTGATCAGGCCCGATTTATTCGTCAAGAAGAAGAAGTAGGATCCAGTTCCATATCTTGGGGTTGAGAGCGCAGAATTTTGTAGGTGCAGGTGAATCATTGTTGATATTTTGTTAGAAAACTTTCTCAGTGGAGACATTTGGAAAAGCTGTTATAGCATTATCCACTTTCTACAAAGGAAATGACGAGTATTTATTCATATGTAAAAAAACAAAACAAAAAAAAAAAAAAAACAAGAGCATAATGAATACAATAAGCAGGGAAGAAAAAAGAATGGAGCATCAACAACAACAGCAGTAGCAATATGGGGGGGTTAGACTCATAACCAGCGTAGAAAACCACGCCCAGATAATATAGTCACATTCATGAACATTGGCGATGAGTCTATGGTGCTATTTTTTTTTCTCTTTTCGGGGCCCAACGCTTACTAAAGGGTTAGTCAAAACATTTTTGTCATAGCTGGTTGGTTGTGGAAGAAAGTGATGAGTTTAGCAGGCGGGTAAACATCTCGTCTATCTCTTCCTCCTCCACATACTGAAGTCATCACTTTGTGAGATCATGGGATAAATAAAACCGCGGCAGGGGATTGGTCGATTCGCATCACGTGACACATTTAAGAGCAAACGAAAAGAGTCAAATGGTTTCTGTTTGCGCGCCTTCTTTCTTGCTTTCTTTCTTTCTTTTTGCGTAATTTAACTCGCTGATATGCGTGTGTACTTTTATATGTGCGTGTGAGTCTGTGTGTGAAAGGAAAAGAGGTGGGGGGAAAATGACCTTAAATATTTTACACACTATTCAAAAAAAAAATTTTTTTTTCTTCTTTTTTTTTTTTTTTTTTTTTTTCTGCCAAGCCTGGCCAAGAAAAACGAGAAAAAAAATAGCCAAAAATAAAAACAATTAGCCAATAAAATGAAATAGAACACTTTCAGATACGTTTTCTTCTTGTTTTACAAGTACTTATTCGCGTAATTTAACTCATTTATAAAGCAAGAATGTGAATGAGAGAGGAAGAAGGCGAGGTAGAAAGAAAGGGGGGGCAGGAAGAGAGGGAGAAAGAGAGAAAGAGAAAGGGGGGACATAAAGGAGAAAAAGAGAAAGCGAACAAGAGAGAGAGGGGAAAAAGAAAGAAAACCAGAAGACGAGGAAGAGAGAAAACATAACAAAGGGAGCTGGAAAGTGAGAAAGAGAGAGAGAATTAAAGAGAGAATTAAAGAGAGAAAAGAGAAAGAGGAGTGAAAGAAAGAGATCATAAAAGAGAAAGAGGCAAGATAGAGAGAGATAGAGAGAGAGAGAGAGAGAGTAAGAGCAACAAGAGAAGGAAGAGAAAAGTCTGAAAAAAAAGTATAAATGCAATGTTAATCGTTATCTTCTGTCTTCTTAATTCCCGTTCTTTTATTGTTCTCTCTCCTTTTTTTTTCTCATATTCCCTAACATTCAGCAGCCCCTGGCGTCTTAGTGGCTTTAATGCCTTGCTTGGTGTGCTATGATAAAACAAAAAGTGTGCAAAAAAGAGAAAGAAAAAGAAAAAGATCAAGCGAGAAAGGGGGAAAATTAAAAGAGAGAGCAAGAGAATAAGCGCGTGAGGACGAGAGAAAGGCAACAAGAAGGAGAGAATGTGAGAGAGAGAGAGAGAATGAAATAGAGTAACAGAGAGAGAGAGAGAGAGAGAGAAAGGGGGCGAGTAAGAGTGAGAGATAGATATATATATATAGAGAGAGAGAACATGTTCAGCCAT